CACCGTGCCGGGGGTGCTGAACGAAGGGAGTGGCCGGCGGGGCCTCCACGCTCACCTTATTGATCCGATTCTTCTCGGGCTTGGCAGGCTTAGGAGGGGGCTTTTCCTCCTCTTCCTCGTCCTCACTCTGACCCTGGATCAGGGCTGCGAACACGTTACCGCCCTAGAGAACAAAAGGGCCCGACATCAGTGGGACGGGCCAGCTGCACCCTCGGGGTCTCGCCTCGGCACAGGACGGCTCACCTTGTTCTTCCTCCCACCTCGAGGTATCGGGGCAGGAGCTGAAACGACAAGGGGGAAGGAGGGACGAGGACTCGCAGGCCCGCCTTCTCAGTTTAGGCCGGCCCCAGCAGCCAGGCCTGACGCGCCGCCCGGTGGCCCCCGTCTGCCCACTCACTCACCCTCGTCCTCCTCGTCACTGGCGGGCACGGACAGCTTCTTAAGACGCTCCATGAGCTCTTTCTCCTCCCCGTCATCATCCACATCCTTCTTCCGTCTGCCTTTTCGAGTGTCTCGCTTCTTTTTTTGCTGCTGAAAGCGTAAGAGAGCAAAAGAATCGGGCCCAGGCCTCTGCTGTATTTCCGCCCCACGGAGAACTGCCCGTCAGCTGAGAATCGACGTGGGCCGGAGGCGCTGGCAGACCCAGAGGCCCCGGGGCTGCTGGGAAAAACGCTCGTACCTGCTGCTGCTGCTGCTGCTGCTCCTTCTCCCTGAGAACTTTCTCCTCTTCCCCCACCTGTTTATCTTCTACTGCCAACTCTTCAAAGAACTAGGACGGGGATTAAGATGCTGGTCGATGCGGCCCGAGACCAGCCAGGCCCTCCTCTGCCACACACAGGCCACATGCCCTCCCCGCCCCTCCTTCCCCCTTTCCTGGCAGAACCTCTCCTCCCTGGAACCTCCCACACCTGCACGTGGGACAAAGACCACAGTCGTTCCTCATCCCAGCCCCATTTCCTCACCGTCTTCTTGGTCTTCTTGTCCTTCTTCCCTTTCTTGACCACTTTGTCTGGAAAATTAAGCAGACACCGTGAATGCGTACCTACAATCCCAGGGCAGCCTCATGTCCCCGGCGAAGCCCTGGTGGCCTCCGCCCTTCTGTCTACTTTTCTGGCTCAACTACCTCTCTCTAGGCATGGCACCGGCCCGTCCCACCGCGCAGCTGTGCCGACCTGCACTCGCGCACCCCGTGAGCATTTACTGGACACGACGTGCCACACGCCGTGCTAGTGGAGGGGAGACTGCGGGGAACCAGACGACGCAGTTTCCTCTGGCGCGTCCAGGCTTCAGAGATTTTTATGACTAGAACTGTTTTGAAGGGGGGCTGGCGGGTGGCATGGTGGTTAAGGCATGCAGTTCGAGTCCGAACCTGTTGGCTTGCTTTATGTATTTATGTATTTATGAATTATTATTCTTCAATTTGACCTGAGACAGACAGAAACAGAGAGAGGGAGAGTGAGAAAGCAAGCCACCAGATCTGGGACTCTAACCGTGGTGGGAGTCCAGTGCCTCATCCACCACGCCACCTGCAGGCCCCTAAATACTTCTTTTAAAAAAAAATAAATAAAAGTATTTGGGAACTAGCAGTTGACTTAATAATGGCTATGTTGCTGGACTCCCACGTAGTCGACCGCTGTTTGAGTCCCGGACCCGGTGGCTTAAACTCACACCAGGCACGTGTGCGTGTGTGCCCAAGATCCCGAGAGGAGAATGGAGGAGAAGGGATTGCGGCGTGTCCATCCCCCTGGGGGGCGATTTCTCGCTTTCTGTCTCTGTCTTTCTGGCAAGCACACGCGTCTTATTGAAAAAACCTCTCCAAAAACAAAAAAAACCCGACCAGTGTTTTGAAAGGGCCAGCAGGCGGCACAGAGGTTAAGGCACTAGATTCCCCATAGCCGACTATGTAGTCTGAGTCTCGGACTTGGCAGCTTGAAAATCATGCTGGGCGTGTGTGCACATACCCAAAGCCCAAGGAGACTAGAGAAGGGACTCCGCTACGGTCATCCTCCCTGGGCAGATTTCTCACTCTCTGTCTCTGTCAATCAAGCGCATGTACTCTACAGCAAAACTAAAACTAGCAGGTGGTGTGGTGGTTAAGGCACTGGACACTCCTACATGGTTGACCGGGGTTTGAGTCCTGGACCTGGTGGCTTCCTTTCTCACTTCCTCTCTCTCTCACTCTCACCCTCTGTCTCTCTCTGATCAAATTTAAAAATCAACGAATGAATAAATAAAATAAAATAATTATTAAAAAAAAGATTAAAAAAAAAACCTAGGTAAGTAAACAAAGTGTCTTGCAGGTTCCAAAGGCAACGGCAAAGTCTACTTGCAGGGGAGGGGCTGGCCTCAGCTCCAGCACAGGCCTCCCCGAATAGATGGCATTTAAGGTAACACCAAGGGCAGCCTCGATGGTGCTGAGGTAGGTGGATCCCACACGGCCAACCCTGCAGTTCGAGTCCCAGTCTGGTGGCTGTGTGTGTGTGCCCAAACTCCCGAAAGGTGGGAGAGGTGGAGAAGGGATTGCTGCGGCACCATCCCCCAGCGGGTGCTCCCCCCCCATCTCTCTCTGCCACTCTCCAACAAACATACGCGCCCTTCGGCAAATTAAAAAAAATAAAATAAAATAAAGGCCCACATGTGAAGGATGAGGGACACGGGAAGTCCGGCCGGCACATGCTGGCCTCAGAGCCCAGTGCAGGCCCAGCTGCAAGGACGTGCACACCGAGGGGCACGGCTCAGGCTGCAGGGGGGTCGCTCAGGTAAAGCGTGCGCTCACATGGGAAAGCCTTTAAAGTCTCACTCGGGCCTGGGGCCTGAGAGCGGAGCAAGGCTGGGAGGGAACAGCGGGAACTCTGCTGGACGCTGCTAGGACGGAGGTGGGGAGGAGAAGTGAGAAGGTGGGCAGAGGTGGGAAATAAAAAGGAGTACTCAGAGATGACTTCTATGTCTTTATTTTTATTTAAAGATTATTTATCTAATTCCATTTGTTATTAGTATTTTTAACTTGACCAGAGACAAAGCGAGAAAGCTAGCCTCCAGGTCCAGGACCGGAACCGTGATTGGCCATGTGGGACTCCAGCACCTTTAACCACCATGCCACCCGCTGGTAGGACTCCTTTGTTTTTAGCTGGCAAAAGTGAGTTGGGCTAGTGGTACCATTTATTAATTCCGGGAACGTAGAGAGAAGGTCCCTGCCCTCCATAGGTGAAAGAAAAGAAAGAAGATAATATAAATTCAGCTTGGGATACACTGTAACACCTGCAGCCATGGAGACAGAGCGTCTGCTACAAATGAACAGCTCTGGCTCTGGCCCCAGCCCCACTCTGCTCAAACACTGTAGCACAAATCACATGTGTCATTCTCACTCACCTCGCAGTCTGTCACCCCAGACAGTGACCCGAGACTCCCAGGGCTATGACTGAGCGAGTTCCAGCTCTCCCTGAAGCTAGGGCTATGTTAATTCCCTCCCTCTCCCCACCAGATCAGGAGGCAGCCGGTACTCTCAGGAGCACTCTGCATACCCAGGCCTAGGTACCATCCCTGCCTCCAGAAATCTCTGCCACCCCGCTAGCCCAAGCACTCCTCCAATCAAGCAACTTAATAAATGGGCCAGCAGGTGGCGTGGTGCTGAAGATACCGGATTCCACATGGCCAACTGCATGGTTGAGTCCCAGACCCAATGGCTTGAAAAACACTGGGCGCGTATGCACATGTGTCCAAAACCCTGAGAGGAAGATGGTGGAGGAGGAATGCGGCCATCGCCCTCACGGGGTGATTTTTCTCCTTTTCCTACATCGGAATGATCAGACTAGAATTCTGTAGTAATAATCTATACATGAAAGTGTTACTGAGCCTTCACGCGCCCAAACCCCAGAGATGCCAGGGCATTCCCTCAATTTGGGGCTTCGCGGACCGAAGGGGCTTTATTCTATCTTTTCTGCTTCCTTCCCACACTGATGTTCTGGACTGGCTTCGCCTCAAGCCTTGATTAAGTCCCGGGTGTGCTGACGTCGGTCTCTGCCTCATCTGTGTCCCCCCTTCAGAGCGTTTCAAAATCGGATCCCAGTACTGGGCAGCCAGTGTGATGCAGCTGGGAAGATGCGCAAGGTTAGTAACGGGAGCTTTTAAATGCTGTCCACGGAGCTCACTCCTGAAGACACGGAGGGAAGACCACGGAGGGGCCGGAGAGTGAACGACCCGACCGGCTCACCCCGACACGGCCGAGGGACTCACCCAGACACAGACACCAATCTCACCCACAGACTAGCCCCCCCCACGTCTCCTCTGACATCTCTTCTGTACTCTGCCGCCGCTCTGAGCCCCTGATCACAGGGGGAGCAGGACAGGCGTGTACACAGCCTAGCTGTGAGGAAGCGCACTCACAAAGGATCAGAAAAGGTGCGCATGGCTGCAGCTAGGCCGGTCCTCAGCTCCTTCAACGGCTCCTCCCCAGCATATCGCGCAGGCTGCCCCAACTCCAAAGCGAAAGAGAGCCCTGGCCCAAGCTTACACGCAGCACCCCACGCGCCAGGCAATGGGCTCCACTGCTGTGTCACTGAGGGTCGGGCGCACAGCTCCCACGAGCTCCTCCTCACCTCCCACTCCGTCTCCAACGCACTCCAGCTCGACTTGGCCATCACCTCCTGACAAACATTACTTTTTGCCAAAGTTGCCACTGACTGCGTAGGTCCTGGCCTCAAAGTATGTGTTCAGTCCTTATTTTGTGCACCTTCTCTGCAGCCTCCAGGCCATCAGCCTCGGCGGCCTTTCATTCCCCTCCATCGCTGCTCACCTTCCGATGCTGCCTGCTCCTTCCTGACTTGCCCCCAGTCTCTCCGGCTACCTGCCCTTCCCAGGCTCACCTCCTCCGCAGTCTCCTCCCTTCATTATTGAGGTTTCCCTGGGTTCCCACCTCTGCCTCTCTTGCTTTGAACTGTAAACACTCCTCAGAGGACTCCTCCATACCCAACGCTTCAACTCCCCTTCCCCTACAGCTACACCAACTCCGAGGCCACCAAGCCCTTCCTCGGAGACCTCCAGCTCAGCACTCAAACCGCTGCGCTCCCCTCTCGGCAGCCACTGTGCCTTCAGGTCACCATCTACACTCACTGGCTCACTAAGTGGGTAGACCCTCAGCTTTCCCGTCCAGTCCCTCCCCATGCCACCTCTTCAGTCTTCACTGCCTGGGCTTATGGCTTTACCACTGTTCGCTAAAGCCCGGCCACAGTCTCCTGAGCGGTCTCCCGGTCTCCATCTCCACCGACCCGAGGCCGTCCACTGCTCAGCATCAGGGTGAGTGACCACATCATTCCTCATGCGCTTCAGAGGGTCCTCCTCCCTCCAGGTCTTCAGGATTAAACACACAGCAAGCCCTCCACTGCCTGTCTGCGCACACCTTTCCCACTACCACGCTAGTCACCGGGGAACCAGCCGGGCCCAGGTACCCCTCCCTCTGCACAAACTGCCTCGCTGGAAGGCCTTTTCTGGAGCCCATGAATTCAGATGAATTCAGCTACTACGTATCTCTGAGCCGCTTGGCTGACACTCCTCCTGCCCCCCCCCCACCGCATTCTGAAGCACAGTGATTACACTGACCAGCTCTGTCCAGCTCCCGCTCTGGCCCCTCCACTAACCCCGAGGGAAAGGCAGACCTCTGGTCGCTACAGTCCTACTTCCTCCGCACAGAACCTGGGGTACAGGAGGCACCCAATAAATGCTTGTGAAAGTGGTCACTGTACACCTACTGCAGGTACATGTGACCATCTTATCTCCTCCTGGAAGTGCTTTCTATCCTGGGACGATGTGCCCATATTTTTTTCTTTCCTCTCTCAAACCACAGTATTATACAACTGTCTCTTTAAAAATAGGAGCTCAACACACATTTGCTGCTTTTAAGTACACCTGAACCTCCCTTGCCCACATCCCAAATGCACGCTCCTGCTCCAGCTGTCAGAAGGGTGTTTTACCAAAGAGCTCACGAAGTCACTCGCTCCTGACAACCAAGCGGACTCGCGAGCCCCCGAGGTGTGCGCGCGCGTGCAGGAGGACGGGAGGTCGAGGCAAGGGTTATCTACTCCTGCGGGATGCAGTGTGATGCGAAAATGTCCAAAGGAAAAAGAAGCCTTTCTCATCCCCCATCTCTCCTTCAGTACCATGTTCTCGGCCTCGTGTCCTGCCCAGACCCACCGAAGCTCGAACGCGATACACCCTGGCACCTTTCCTCTCGCTCCCACTCCAAACCCAGTCCCGTCCGGCCCTCGGGCCGGCTCTCCGCACGCATGCGTAGTAGGACCCGCACCGGCCGGCCTGCCTCGCGCCCCGCGACTGCCGCCCAGGACACGCGCACCTTCCTCTTCTCCTCCCTCGTCCTTCCGGCCTCACCTGGGGGGCTCGTAGTCTCTCCGTCCCCGATCCACTCGGGCTCCGGTGCCTGCTGCTTGGGGCCCTTCGGCATTGCGGTGGCAGTTACAGCTGCTCTGGCGGCTGCCGGCGCTATTTCCGCTTCCGGGCCAGGACGAGGCCTGCGCGTCCCCGAGCGCACACACGTGCTGCTGGCCGTCAGGGGCGTGGCCTGGCGAGGGGCGTGGCTGGGGGAGGGGCGTGGCCTGCGGGGACAGCGTCCGCCGGCTCTCACGGCGTCTGCAGCGCGTTTACGACTGCAGGGGAAGCCAGCCGGGGACGCCGCGAGTCTCAGGAATGTGCATCATAATTTCCCTGCGGCACCGGCAAGTTAAGGCACCCGTTTTTTCAAAATTTGCTGTAGGGCGCGTGCGCTCCCTAGAGAGAGAGAGAGCGAGATAAAGTGAGAGAGCGCGCGCCGGGGGATGGCCGCTGCACTCCCTCCGGTCCACTCTCCTCCGGGTTTTTGGGACGTGCATGCACATGTATTCAGCGTGTAATTCAAGTTGCTGGGTCGGGGTTGGAACCGTGCAGTCCACCCTGTGGGATCCAGCCATCTTAACCACGGCCACTGCCCCCCACCTTTTTTTAAGTGGATGCCACCTTCTGGCAGAGCTGAAAAGACGTCTAAGGGTAAGGCCTGTCGGTCCCGTGTTGAGATGTGTCTCAAAGTCCCAAAGTATACAGGTGTTTTTTTTTTTTTCTTAAAGGATTATTTATTGGGGGAATCGGCAGGTGGCATGATGGTTAAAGGAGCTGGACTCCCAAATGTCGACTACGGTTCAAGTCCTGGACCTGGCAGCTCTCTCTCTCTCTCGCTTTCGTCAAACTAAAAAATAAATAAGGGGACCAGCACATGGCATGGTGCTTAAAGCGCTAGACACTCCCACATGGCTGACCACAGTTCGAATCCCAGACATGGTGGCTTGCTTTCTCACTTTCCCCCCTTCTCTCTCTGTGTACATCTCTTTCTGGTCAAAATAAAATAAATAAGTGAATATATAATTAAATAATTCTGAAAAAATAAAGTAAATAAATAACGTTAAATACAATGAATAATTTTACATAAAAGAATTATTTGTTTAGGGCTGGCAGGTGGCGTGGTAGTTAATGGTGCTGGACTCCCTCATGGCCCACCACAGTTCAAGTCCTGGACCTGGCGGCTTGCTTTCTCACTTTCCCTCTCTCTCACTCTGTCTCTCTCTGGTTAAATTAAAATAAATAAATAGAGTTAAATAATTTTTTAAAAGGAATTATTGGAACCAGGAGATGGCATTATGGCTACGTCGAGTTCGAGTCCTGGACCCAGTCGCTTAAACTCATGTCAGGCACCTGTGCATGCATGCCCAAGATCCTGAGAGGAGAATGGGGAAGAAGGGATAGCAGTGTGGCCATCCCCCCTGGGAGGGGGGTTATTTCTCACTTTCTATCTCTCTGTCTCTCTCTGTCCTTCGGGTGAGTGCATGCGCCCTATTGCAAAAACCTCTCCAAAAAGTTTTTTTCAGAAAAGAATTATTTATTTAATTTTACTTATTCTTTTTTAAAAAAGATTATTTAATTTTACTTACTCATTATTTATTTTTTATTTTGACCAGAGAGAGACACACACAGAGAGAGAAGGAAACTGAGAAAGCAAGCCACCAGGTCCAGGACTCGAACCATGA